TTTTATAGCGTTCGCGTAGGTACCGCGTGTGTCGCAACCACGATCTACACGTAGCGCGTGCACGTTGCGGGGAAGGAGAAGACCCACGCTCATGAAACTCTCTATTCAACGGGCTCCCCGAGCACGCGTACGCGCCTTTCCGCATGCTAATCCGTCTTGTCTAAGGCCTCAGAACGGCTGCGTAAACCAAACGCCATACCAAACGGGCTCGTCAAAGTGGATCTAGGCTCGCTCGTTTGGCCAGCACGCGCGTTCCAATTTTCACTTTCCATTCTCGAGTTAGGCCGCACAAGCACGGGGATGGCAGTGATACTATACGATTACTATAACGACGGTCGTAACGCCCCGTAAACGCCGATGTGTGATCAAGATGAAGCGAAATCTCGAAGGCTCGGAAAATGAGCTCGTGATTCATTTATTAATTTGTCGTTCTTTAATAACGCAGGCAGGTTCTCTTTTCATTTTCGATAATGAATGTTGGTTAATTAGAAGAACGAAAAATGTCCAATGATATTAGGCTGAGTTTTTTTAATAATTAGGAGTTTGATTGAAGATCAAGTGTCCGTACACTACTTATCAAATGTCTGAACTTGATAAATTGTTTCTTATCACAGTTTTTCTTGCATCACATCAAATAAAATATCTCTGAAAGCTTTAATTTGTCCTGTTAGTTTTAATTTAAATGGAAAAGATAGTGTGCTTAGATTTTTAACAAATATGTTCCAAGAGTGCTAGAGTTCTAAGTATGCCAGAATGAAATATCTCTTTTTTTTTTTCAATTGTGCTTTTCTTCAATTGTGCTGGCATACCCACAAGATGAAAATTTTACGAAATACTTTCATTATTTGCTTCTTTCACATATTAATAACAAAATATCCTACATGTTTATTTTATCGAAGGATTGATTTAATCGTTTAAAAGGTACATTGTGCATTTCCTTACCGTCCGAATACTCCGATGGTAGTAACTTGAGGAACGGGGAGCCTCTGGCACCCCAGGCGGGATGTCTCACATTGTTGCAAGCACCGGAAGGCGTTCTGTACTTACTCGGTGGACAGGGTCTTTCTGACCGGACTCTGCATGTTGCGTTCACCGGCTGTAACTTGTTCACCTGCCTGAAAAAAAAAGCGAACCTTGCAATTTTTTTCTGAACAAACAATTAAACGGTCGGTATTAATTTCACAATCACGAAAAATTAAATTAAATTACTTAGAATAACATTACGTAAAGCGTAAAGGTCACTCAAAATTTCTAAGAATATCTAGCTAGTAATTTAATACATCATATGTAATAGTCTATTACTGGAAATTATTACTTGATACTCGAACATCATAGAATGAAGATAGCAATTTTGCCCCAGTAATATATTCAATCTTTTTCCTATAAAACAGTAATCGTTCGTTAACATAATATAGCTATTAATTATTTCCATTGTTCTTTCCTTTCCATTATATCTTTCATTTTTACATAACATATTTCTTCTCTTTTTTTTCCTTTCCCTTTGATTGCTATCGTTATGATATTATCGCAAGAATTCTTCTCTGCATTTTTTAAAAATGAATATTTGGCTGTCGAAATAAAATTATGGTCATTTCTATAATAAAATTTTCATACTTTTAATACATCAGGATGAAACTTTCTTTATAACCTCCTCTTCCTCCTTTTTCCTTATAACTTCCTCTTATCTTAACTAATCTCTTTTTTATATAACAAATACGCAGAATGTCTCAATTATAACGCATCGAAGTAAACAAATAAAAAATATGAAGAACCGTATTTGTATTTGTGAGTAGACGAGTAGCATAAAAAAGATGTTAAACACATGGAGATGTACTGAAGAGAGATCTTAATAATACGGAAGTTTCACTGGGTTACATATTCGATGTGAAAGTGATGGAATTCATTATTATAATCATAACTTAACTATAACAGCGAAATTTGTACGTAAAATAAATAAGATACATTAAATACATTTTCTAACAAAATGTTTAATTTGTTGCTAAAGCAAAATAATTTATCCACAGCAAATGGACTTTACTGCTGCGACATCCTTGAATAAAAATTATTTTATAATTGAAATAATTTCCAAATTCAGTAAATTAAAGCTTTATTAAATAAAATCGGTATTTAAGGCTTTTCTTTACTATTTATATCATAGCTATTTATATTATAGATGATTAGCAGGACTGTATGAAGAATAATTTTTCTGTGTGCCGAGGAAACTTTGTTTTCTCGCCTCGGATCTCGCTGTCTGTGTGCGTTCTTTCGTTTGTAGAAGAACGGAATCCAATTCCGCTAGAAGTCGAACGCGTCCTTCCTGCTCCATTTCCCCCTTTTTCTCGCGCCCGGCGCGCGCTTTTACTTTCATGGCCGAGGAAAGGAGCCGCCGATGTCGGCCGATCTGTGCATCGGCATTTCAGTCACGAGGAAGATTTCTCGCACAACCATTGCCGTCGGTATTCCCTTTCCTCGACCTCGAGAAGGCTGCTGGTCACGGGAGGAGGCGTGTACGCACGAACATCGCGGTATGCACGTGGCCATGATCGCCACCGTCACTGTCGTTCTCTAATGTCGCCAGCACGTGCAACACAACTCGTTGATCGAGTCAATAAATAAGAAATCCTTTCTCGTCGAAAAAAAGTTGACGGAACCGCTGATAAATGAGTTATTTCCGTTGCTCGCGATCGGCGATCGGGGGGGGGGGTTCCTATGTGAAGTTAAACGAATGGCAGACTATTGAACAATTCGCGAGAAATGTAATATTTTTTTTTTTTTTTTTTATTGGAATTTAAAACATGAGAGTGTGACATATATCATAAAATATTAATCTACATTTAACATATTTCCATTTCGTTTTTATTATTCAAAATGTCTTGGAGCACTATATTTAGGATTTTGGCAATTAAAATTATTTAGGAAAAAAAAATAACATTTGCTGTAGAGATGAGAGATAAACAGAAATTTATCAGAAATAAATAAATAAAATAAATTTATTTAAAAGAAAGATCTAGCAACTTTTTTAATCATAAATCAATTTTTTTTTTCTAATGACATTTAGTCGATTATTCGCTTATTGGCAATTTTACAGTAATATCTACGTCAACATCTTTTATACCAATCTCTATTATGCATACCAATTTAGTTCAAATAGGGGAGGGGGGGAGAAATCATTAAGTTACTGTAAAGAATTATAAATTATATAATATTAACGTGAGCCATCTTGTTTATGTTACGTCTGATATCTCGATATTTTATGGAAATGTTCGGGATGCAAATAGATTGCATTCTCATGCGCCTTTACAGCGATTGCCGTTAATAAATGTTTAATCATTAAAATAAGAATGTTGACGGGCCGACTATCTGGTTAATTTCCGTGAATGTCACTGACAGACAGTCATGAGATAGATAGTAATACATCAATTAAAAATCCGCATCGCATAATCAAGCGTATTTTAAAAACTTCAAAAAAATTCTCCCCAGAATCGTTTTTACGAGATGAAACAAATTTAAAGAATACATTTTATAAAATCAATTTCGCGGTATTTGATGCAAAAAACAAACACTTTATTCGCCTTCATTATCATTCATATTGCTATTCACACAATCATCACGTCATATAAATTGAGATATTTCCGATTATTCCATACAGTAATTCTTAAAAATTGTTAAGTATTTTGTACATTAACATCCGTATAAATGCATACAATTTAAAATAATTTATTATCTCCAATAAGTCTGATAAATTTATATATAATAAAGACTAATAAATCAGATTTAACGTATGATTATTCGAAAGATTCTCCTCGTTATATATATGTATATACCTGTTATATCCAAATCCCATTCATTTGTAAATTTCAGAGAGAGACTTAAAAAAAGAAATAAGTATCACGATATCAAGCTATAAAAAAGCGTCTAGTATAAATAATAGAGAAATAACATCCCGGCTAGAAGTCGAATACTTCTGCTTTTTGTGCATACCAGAAAATCAATTTTTTATTAATTACAGATCGGAGAGAGATCCGTTTATCCTTGACGCTCACAATGGCATCCTTTTTTATTCTCTCTTTCTCTTTTTTTTTCTCGATTTGATCGTGACCCGACTTCATTATTCATTATACATTCGGCGATGTGCGTGCGCGCGCGCGCGCATACGCGGCCTTCGGAATTCCTATGCTATCGCGGAATTTTATTGGAATAGACAGATTATATAAAAGCCAATTTGGTAAAATTTTGCGTTTCGCCACGAATTTGTAAAAGTAAAATAAACCGGATCATAATGTATTACGGTCGTTAATCGTATGACATGACTGGAAAGTACGCGCGTTTTCACCGGGATGCATTTCTCAAGAATTTATGACCGAGCGACAAAGATTTTTTTTAGCGAACGTATTTTCGAAACAGAAAATAACTTACGATCGATAGGCGAATCTCTCCGCCTCGATGGCCGAACGTGCTCTCGCTTGCAAATCATGATCTATTCCATAAATGTATTCTGTAACAAAAAATGTATCAATTGTTACAAATATTTGCATATTTTACTTTACATATTTAGAAGTTAAGTCGCATTGCATTGTACATGTTTTTGTAATCTAAAATTATTTACTTCTTTAATGAAAAATTATACTATTATTTCAAGTATCATTTTAAGTGGTAAATTTAGCTCCCTAAATAATAATTATTACTAAAGATCTTAAAATTTCTCTATCAACAATAATCCCTTTTATGAAAAGAATTAAAAATTTTTATATATGTATATTTTACTTATGTATTTAAAATAGAAGATAAATAAAAAAGATATGAACATCATTGTTTTGAATTAAAATCTTTGTGAAGTGATATTGATCATCAAACACGTACACACGTGGCAAGATAAAAATGAATGAAAAAAGAGCATAGATAAATGATTACGCTTATTAAAATTCCTAACGAAAGATTCTTCTCTTTTCGATTCGTAACGTAATCTTACAATGTTACGATTCTGATGTCTCATAAACCGATTTTACGTGCCAACGTGAGAGCAATCTCACTATTGTTCTTCGTTTCTTTCAAATTGGTAACACCAGTCGGCTTCCTTCTTTATATAATTAGTATTTCAGCAATTCATTCTCAAATGAAAAAACAAAAAAATCACAAGCAAATAGAAAATATTTCACAAATAATTCATGTTAATATATATATATATATATATTATATATTACAAATATTTTAACTCTAGATTATTTTATTTTCAGGAAGAGAGAGAAAGAGAAAGAGAGAGAGAGAGAGAGAGAGAGAGAGAGAGAGAGAGAGAGAGAGC